AAATATTAAAATATTTGTTATGTTATCTGGTTTAAAGAAGTGAATAATATATAATTATAAACAATCTAAGCTTTTCATTAAATAAAATTTTCATAAATAGTAATTTTAACATATTAATTTTTATGTTGTCACTTTTGAAAATGTCATTAAATTATCTTCTTTAGAAGCAATATCATTATTTACAATCTTTGAGTATAATTTACTTTCCTCTAAATCAATAACGATACCAGTGTGTTCTGTATGCCATTATTGAAATTGGCCTGGATCACCCGGTCATTTGTGAAACCGAAATTGCTATAAAGGCAAATTTAGATGTTGTGCCTTTCGCTGCCCGATTTTGTTCTGGCTCTTTCGTGCTGTGGCGCTGCCTTTTCGGATCCATATCACTTCACTGACACTCATATTTCCGACACAACACTTCACCTACAATCAATTTATCGACATGTTGGTTTCGCAAACGACCAGTTCCTAGACAAGCTCATTTCGTAGACAATTCATTTCACCAACAGCTCATTTCACCGACAAGTTTATTTCTTATAAATTCCTCTAACCCTAACCATAAATTTTAATGATGATAATGTGAAATGAGCTGTCGGTGAAACGAAATATACATGTCGGTGAATTCATTGTAGGTGTCGATGAAATGATTGTAAATGAAACGTGTTTTCGAGTACGCGCAATAGAAGATTAACTATACCTAGGATAAACTGACAATATGACAATGTATATAATGTATATCAGATATACTGTATATTAAATCGGTTCCGTTCACTTCACCGACACCCATTTCATAGACATAACCATAACACTTCGCCTACAATCATTTCACCGACATGTTTATTTCACAGACATCAATTCCTAGACAAGCTCATTTCGTAGACAATTCATTTCACCGACATTATAATCATTAGAATTGGGGTTAGGGTTTAGGATTATGGTTAGAGAAATTTATAAGAAATAAACTTGTCGGTGAAATGAGCTGCCTGTGAAATGAGTTGTTTACGAAATGAGCTTGTCTAGTAATTTATTGTCTGTGAAATAAACATGTTGGTGAATTGATTGTAAGGTGAAGTGTTATGTCTATGAAATGGGTGTCAGTGAAGTGATCTGTGTCCATATTACGTAAATATATATAGCAGATCAAAAGCGATTTGGAGAAATGCCAAAACCTCGGTACAAAGGTTAAGGATACTCTGCAAATTTCATCAAAACCTGAAGCTCAAATTTGTCAAACGATGCAACTCATTGATAGCCAAAACATACTGATTTAGTAAAGTGGAATTGAAATGGAAACAAAGCTTATCAAAAATATGGAATGCATTGAATTGGCCATTGTTACATTTAAAATTTTTGAGTTGAAATGGATAAGCAAAAGATTTACGCATTATGATTTAAAAATAATTAAAATATGAATAAATGCATATATCGCACCATGCTACACACTTATATCTCGCACACCTATAGCAGATCATATTTCGGGTGTAACGTAAAATCAAACAAAACGTTTTGCTTAGATTTAGTTAGGGTTAGAGAAGGTTCGATTTAGGGTTAGGGCGGGCATAGATTATATCAAAATTTTGCAAAAAATTTTTCTAGTTAGAACACGAAAGGCTGTTTTCTGTGTAAAATTTTGAGTTATTGGAGATTTTTTAAAAAAACGTTTTTTTTTTTCGCCATTTTTTACGTTATTGAAATTGGGTTGGTAGGCAAAAATAGGTGTATCGCGATAAATAAGAGAACTACATGCTAGATCTAGATTAATCCTTGAAATATTACTTAATCTTTGCAATTAATCGAAATATTATTTATACGTAGCATGAAATATAAATTTTTAAAATTTTAGCCAATCAAAGCAACTGTATAACAAACAAATAAAATGTTTTCTATAATTATTTATCAAAATACATAATTACCAAATTAATTAGTTTATTTATTACTTTTATGCAAATTGAATTACTAAACTACAACTATACAACATACTGTATTGCTTGAAAAACTTCCTAAATTATCTTTGAACCCTTGTCATTAAAATAAAATTTTAATTTTAGTTTAAAGCTAAGAGTTGAATTCAGTTTAATTGATTTAAAAAAGTTTAATTATAAAGTCTAATATATTCTCCTCCACTTATTTTATACCTCCGGTATAAAATCTTAAGAATCAAAGATCAGCAACAAAAGTTCATACTTAGTCAATTTGGATACCATGGTACGTCGGGTATCTTAAACTTGAAACCACAATTACCACGGTACGTCGGGTAACTGGAACTCTATCAATAACCACAACCAACCACGGTACGTTGGGCTAGTTGGACTCAAAGACCACGGTTAATCTTAGTACGTCAAGATTAGCCGAACAAGTTATCAGGCAAGTATCATATAAACAAGTTAACAAAGGATATACTGTTATGCTACTTTAACAGTAAATCGGAACTGGGAGTTACTCTCTTCTCAGCCTTTAGCCTAGGTATGTTTACTGTGCTAAGTACATATTAGATGTACAACCTCTGGTCTTCCTCATCGTGTGACTACTTTCATTGTCTTTAGCCGTCTCTTCTCCTTTTGCGCAGTACTTATTAAACTCGCCAGTACCAGGCTATGTCACATGACTTACAGGTCCCTCGAGTTAGCATTCTTAACTCCAAATCTAGTCATAATCAACGTTATGGTATTAGGGAGGTTGTTGAATCTACTGTTCTATCTCACAGTCACCACCAAAATAAGAACAGGTGATTTGGTCACCAGGACCAAACCAATCTTCTAATCAATCAGCAACCAGACGACCATATCGAAAGAGGCAGTTAGATTTGGCAGGTGGATGTTCTAAAGCTTAGGTCATCTCTCCTACTACTAAGGGACAGCTCAATTATCACTTCAGGAAGGGGGGGTATGGTAATCATGGATTAATCTATAGACTTCGCAAAGATAATTCTATTATGCTACTTAGTAGAATATCGGGGGGTAATTAAGGAAAGTGTGGGTTAGGTAGTAGGAATTATTTAATAAAGAACTCCATTGTTTATAAGAGCGAACTTGGGAGTTGTTCTCCTCTATGGGCCTACACGGCCTTTATTTATAATATAATATCTGAATGCAATTTGTCTAATTTATTACATAAATGTTATAAAAGTAACATATTCAATAAATCACATATATTCAATAAATCACATAAATCACATAAGTTACATAAGTTCCATAAATCGCATAAATGCAATAAATGCAATTTATGTAACAAACGTAATTTATGTAATTTTACCCCAGTGACCTGTGGTCACGTTATACCGTTCCGGACCCAACTTAACCACTTTTCGGGTCTCACAATATCAAATCATCCCAACCCACCCTTAAATCATCATCCCTTTCGACTAACGACCATCGACCTGAATATAAATATCCCGCCAATATTACTTACCCTTATAGTAATTAGATCATTAAACCCAGTATCACGTTAACTATCGGAGCTAAAGCGTGCAATGTTACCCGCTCTTCCAATTTACGATAGTAACACTATCTAAAAGAGATACAGTCTTAGTTGTACAAAACAGAACACTGTAATATTGGCTAAGCATTTAAGTAGTGCCTGCAAAATATATATCTTATTTAGGAGTATTGTACCTACGTACGTACATACGTACCTTAAAGTTTTTTTGTACTGTGCTACAAAAGAATCAATTCAAATCTCTAACATGTCGTTCAAGTCTGAAAAAGATATTAATCTCAAAGAAGATAATTTTATACAAGATTATAATAGTTGTTTTACAAATTACGAAGTCTTGGATGTTGGAGAGATTGAATGGTTTTATACGGCAAGATTAAAAGAATATAACGAACCAATATTATTAAAGCCAGTCACAATATCTACTTTAAATGAATTCGTTAAAGAAGTATGTTGCATTATTACTTAATTAAATTAAAATATTTTTAAATAATATATATATATATATATTTTTTTTTTTTTTTTTTTGTTAAAAATTTATTATTTTAAATTTTGTAGCTTAAGCGACACCTAAGTATTAAAACGCACGATAATATTTTAAAAATTATTGGACTCACTAAACCTGGTGCATATAAAAATTAATTGCAAATATAACATAACTTGTAATTAATATATATAACCTATTAAAAATTTTGAAAATTATAACTAATTTTTATTTATATTTCTATGTTTTAAGATCTTGATATTCATATGGTAATTCTTGAATACATTGATAGTGGAACTCTTCGTCAATATTTAGAGCAGAATTATAATATTGGATGGAATGAAAAATTAAGTTTTGCTAAACAGATTGTCAATGCAATTATGCACTTACACACAAATAATATAATTCATGGAAATTTGGTAATGAATATTTTTTGTTTATAGAATTGAATTCTTTAATTTTTTTTTATATTTAATATTCATAATTTAATAGAATTCAGAAAATATTCTTATTCACAAAGGAAATATTAAAATAAATGTTATTTCATCTCAATACTTCAAACAAAATCAATATCATCATTTGTTTAGTTTTGTTCAGTATATTGATCCTCAATATTTATATAATCTAAATACATATATTTTAAATCAAAGTTCCGACATATACAGTATAGGAGTACTTCTCTGGGAAATTTCTAGTGGTACTGTCCCATTTAATTCTGAATCTCCATTTGGATATGATTGTTTAACTGCCATTATAAACGGGAAAAGAGAAACAAATGTTATTGGAACTCCTGAAAAATATTCATCAATTTATCAAGGTATTATCACTGGTCAAAAATTATATTTTTACTAGGAAATATATTGTAAAATATATTACAAATCTTTACTTAATTATTGGGTAATAGACAATATTTAAATATAATTGTCATATTTAATAATATAGTATCTAGTAAAAATACTACTTTTCTATCAGTATATATTGAATCATAATGATTTCATTCAAATAATTTCCTCATTATTTATAATTAAAAATTACTAGATTGTTGGAATTATTATTCAGATCAACGTCCAAATATTCAGCAAATTATTGAACGTTTAAATGAAATAATTTTTAATGAAGAAAATGAAAATATTGAAAATAATTTACAACTTAATAATCAAGCATTAATTTTTCAGAAATTATTTGAATTATTTATAATACAATTCAATACAACAACAGATTCTGCGCAAATAATTAATAATATAAATAATTATTTGGAAGTTTATCAAATGAATCCTCATATAACATTTAATAAACTAATTGATCAAGGTTATCGTTATAACTTTGGTATGATAGGATATTTTTATGAATATGGAATCGGAACTGAAATTGATTATTTTAAAGCATTTGAGATGTACAAATTATCTTATAAAATTAAAATTAAAAAACTTAAAAATAATATAAATGATTTATCTTTGATGAATAATTTAAAGATTCATAATTATATTATTTGTAAAATATCTCTTGGATTATTATATTCAATTGGAAAAGGTGTTAATATGGATAAAAAAATCGCTCTTAAATTATTTTTAGAGGTAGCAGAAAGTGGATCTGGCATTGGGCAATATTACGTTGGAATGAGTTATTCATGTTTAGATTATGGTGTTAAAGACGAAAAAAAATCATTGGAATGGTACATAAAATCTGCTGAAGGAGGAAATCCTATAGGACTATATGCTCTTGGGAAATATTATCAAAATACTGATTATACAAAATCATTTACATATTTTATTAAATCTTCACAAAGTGGTAATTCATATGCACAATTCGAATTGGCGAAATGTTATAATTATGGCACAGGTACAATTAAAAATGAAGCTATGTCTCTTGAATTGTATTTAAAATCTGCTGAAAATGGAAATTGTGACGCACAATTTTATTTAGCGAATTATTATAATTCATATTCTAAAGGCAAAAATAGAGATGTTGAAAAAACTTTTAAGTGGTATATGAGGTCTGCTAAAACTGGAAACCCTGTTTCCCAATTTGAATTAGCCAAATGCTATCAATATGGCAGCGGTACAATTAAAGATGAAATGAAATCATTTAAATGGTATTTGAAATCCGCTGAATGGAATTACCAAGCACAATTGAAGGTTGCATGGTTATTAGAGAATGGCATAGGTACTACTAAGGATGAAACACAAGCTTTTAAATGGTATTTAAAATCAGCTGATAATTTGATGACAGATGGAAAATATAATGTTGGAAGATGTTATGAATATGGTATTGGTGTTGCAAAAAATGAAGTAATGGCCGTTGAATGGTATACAAAAGCAAATTTTCCATGGAGTTCTAAAGCAATAAAAAACATTAAGGCGAAAAAGGATCTTGAAGCATTATTTCAAAAGGTACAAAATGATAAACAGAAAGCATTTAAACTTTATATGAAATCTGCAGAATTAAAATATCCTATAGGACAATATAATGTTGGAAATTGTTATGAACATGGTATTGGTGTTGTTAAAGACGAAGTTAAAGCATTTGAGTGGTATTTAAAATCTGCCAGAGAAGGTTATAATATAGGTCAATTTGCTGTTGGATGCTTATATATGTATGGTAAAGGTACAATTAAAAATAGTCGTGAAGCTTTTGAGTGGTTTTTAAAATCAGCAAACAGTGGAAACTGTAATGCTCAATATCAATTAGGTATATTTTATAAAAATGGCATAGAGACCCCGATAGAAATAAAAATCGCTGATCGTTGGTTTGAATTAGCAAAAGCTAATGGGTATAAAGAAGAATAAAAATCAATAAGCAACTTGGAACTAACACTTTCTATATAAAAATATATACTAAAATGTATCATATTTATACAGAATTTAAAAAACTAAGCCGAGAGTTATATAAAGTGACTAGGGTTCTGCAAATGCCGGGTATGGCGCTGAAAAATCATAGTGCCTGCGTGCCCGGGCACTATGTTTTTCAGCACCATGCCCAGTAAAAGATCGGGCAAAATAAATAAATAAATAAAATAAAAGCAAAAATATATTCACAAGGTTAGGTAGAGAGCCCGATTGGAATGTCTAGTTAAATCAGTAGTGGCAGAAAAAATTCGCGATCAGGTGATTTCTGAACCCAACTAGCCAATCAAATTTAAAGATCAGGTGTAACGTTAAAGAATGAAAAAAATTTACCAAAATAAAAATCATAACTCTAAATTTAACCTATGAGCTGCCTTCTGCGCACTAGTAAAAAAAATTTTTTCATGCAAAATTCTGGTATAAATAACACTATTGATCCTGGCCGATAGTGAAAAATCGGTTGATCGATTTTATTAATATTCCTAAAAGTTCCGATGTAGAAAATGAACGATGAAAAAGTGAAAATTGGTTCTAGGCTAGAACTCGTCCGGAGGTTTGGTTACACAGAGCTTCGGGCTCACTAATCTATACAAATAAACTTAGATAATCCAAAAATCCAACCAAGTGGTAACCCTAGTTTGGATAAGGCTGGAAAGAGGCGAGGATTAACTTGGTCCGAGGTTAGGGTTACTTGGGTAGGTATTTAGGTTATTGGGGTTGGGTCTATG